TGATCATCGTTCCTCATTAACTTGGCCACAGAGGAGCTTCAGTGCGTGCTGTGAGCAGTGACGCATGTAGACGCTTTCTTCTAAGTTAAATGCAAACTACTTTGGACCATATGGTGCCTATGCTATAGATTTTACTAAATTTACTAGATCCTCTTACACTGTAAAAACAAACAAAAGTAACTTAAAAGAAAAATATTACAAGCTTTCATTTAAAATTTTGTTTCAGAGATTCTTATGCTTAAGATCACAGAATCTATTTTTTAGCTGAAAAAGCTTTAAATTGCATTCTATTGTTAATGAAATTCAAAGAGCAAAACAGATTGATTCTTTAACTTATAACTTGCTGTGTAGTCTGGATTAAATTATTTAACATATTCATGCTCTTTTGGGGGGAGAGGTAACATAATCCTCCCTCTGGAGTGTTTGGGGGACCTTTGAGCATGAACCATCCTGGAGGTGGAAGGAACCCGGACAGTGTTCTCTGCCCAATGGCAGGGCCCTGCGGAGGGTCCATTATCAGCGTGCTCTTCAGACGTGTCCAAATGCTGCTCTTGTGACAGAAAAAGGGCAATGGAAAACGAGAATGACTAGGACGGCCCTTATGTTCACAACCAGAAATTGAAAATGGGGCCATCTTTCTGAGATCCATGAGTAGTGTAGCATAGAGATGGAGAGGACTGAGGGAGAGAAAACCAACTAGAAGTAATGAGGTTAAAGACTAAGAAGAGCAAAGTGAGGAAAGGATATTAAGGGGGAGAGGCACACACACACACACAAGAATGAAAACAGAATAACCTATGTGAACATGATCGTTAAAAACAAAATGTCCTGGTGGGCCCATTGAGACCTTCTACAGGAAAGAAAAATATTTCCACAAGAGCTATGCTCTTCAGGGAAGGTTATGGGAATGGATATTCCTGAGGCAAGGGCAGTCCATTGGTCCATGAAGATGGATAACTTAGTAAGAGCCAGGCTATGGCAAAGGAAGCACGGCATAGGGAACAAGACAGACACAGCCCCAGTCCTTGAGGAGCACATTGTCTAAAAGTGGAAGATGCCTACGTGAACATGACAGGGGATGCTAGGGCTGCAGAGGGACAACACAGGTGCTTCTGGGAACATATTAAAGATGTGCCTAACCTGGAGGGCTAGGGCAGCCTGTGAAGGCGGAGAGCATTACGTGTCCAGTGGCCCTGGGTGAGGACAGAGCTTGGCAAGCCTGCATTCCAGAGCTCCCCTCTGCTGTCCACTCAAAGCTGGGAGGGAAGTCCCCACTGGCAACAGTGGCTTAAAGACACATGCTTTGAACTTGAAGCCAGACCAGTTCTAGGTCCACCATGACAGGTTGCAAGACCTTGAGTTTCCCCATCTCAGTTTCCTTGTCTGTAAAGTGGAAATAATAAAATATTTCCACGATTCTAAGTGATTGGAAGATGCACCATAGATTTGAAATTTCCAAGGTAAGGATGGGAAGAGGAGAAGGACGTGTCAATTGCAATAGATCTACTTTCTGATTCCCGCAGTAGAATGTAAAATTATGTACATTGTAGAACTGAGGAAATATGCTGATACCTATTTCCCAGGGTTGCCATGAGGGTTGAATGAGGTTAATGTTAGAGTATAATTTCCCAATGCACAATGGCTAAATGCTGATGGTCCCTCAAAATAGGATATTCAGATACCCTAACTCCCAGTGTGGGTACTACTGCGAGGTAATTAGGTCACGAGGATGGAGCCTTCCTGAGCGGGATTAGTGCCCTTATCAGGACAAACAGGAGAGTGTGCTCTCCCGCCCCCGCTCTCTGTGAGGGTGTAAGTGTTATTACTTGCCTCACTCTCCGTATGGCCCAGCCTTTAATAATATGAGACTCAAAAAATGAATATATGGAGATCAAATCTTGAGATCTAATTTCATCATGAGAGTCATTTTTATTAAATGGGATAAATCACTCTTAAAAACTAATATATAGAGACTTCTAGATGAATTCTACCCATATATTTTATAATAGAAAAAAAACTAAGGATCAGAGAAATAAAATGACTTTTCTTTATACATATGGTTCCTGGCACGGTTGGGACAGAAAGAGGGACTTTTTGTAGATGGTGTTGACAACTCTTAATAGCTATAGTAATATATATAATGGCACTGGAACTGGCTGTGTAACCTCAGCTCATACAAAGCAGCTGTGGGGTGCCCCTACCCCAACGTGAGCACTGTCTTAGCAACAGGGATGTCCAAGGCTAAGCTGATTTCCCCCATGAAATTGGGGTGGTGTGGACGGCGCGAATGTGAGAGACACAAAGGCGTAGAACTATGATGTATTCTATGAGCTCCTCCTCCATGGGAAGCAAAATCGAGCTCACCCTCAGGAACAGAGGTGGTGAAACTGCAGGCCCTTCTGCACAGGGAAAGATTTAACCCTCCTGGCGGGCTTCCCATGCCCCCCACCCCAAGCCATTTATTTACCTTGGTCCAAAAATGGCAAAGCACACTGGGTCTCAGGTATATGACTAGTGGGTGGCAGGCCCGTTCACAGTTGGACCACAAAGAGATTATTACTTTTTTTGTAGTCTGGGAGGCTGGGCTGGGCTGGGGCAAGTAATGACGCTGGTAGAATCACAAGAAATGCATCTTGAAGTGCATTCGGTCACAGACCTCCCTGCCTACACCTGTGCCCCAGCATCCCCGAGGGGCCACGTAGCAACACTGCAGCGAGCTCTTTCCTGGGGGCTCACCAAAGTGTCACAGGCAAGATGCAGCGAGTGGCGGCCTCATCCATAGAAGGCAACTTAGGACAAGGGGGTGGCCCTCTTGCACCTGGGGATACTGAGGCCTGGTTAAGTAGCTGCTCTGAGCTCCCGGTTGCTGAGGGGAAGTAGACTCAGGTCTCTTACCTCTTGGTGCTCCACCTGGCACCAAGCTGGTCTCCTCTTCCAGCTCGGCAGAAACCAGTGTGAACGGAAACGTCACCAGGTTCTAAAGCGGGAAGTAGGATGTGCAACCGGCATTTACTGTATTTAGTTCTCACACGAGTGTTACAATATTCCCTTAATAGAGGGCAGGGTCGGGGCTGCGAAAGCAGAACACGGTGCTGGGGTGGGGAGACTGCTCGGAAAAGGAACCGAGGGTCCCGCCCAGAGTCCTGTCTCCCTCTGCGGGCCGTCCCCGTCCCCTGGGCACCGGGCTTCCCCCGGGGCTGCAGCTCTCTCCGCCGGTGACCCTCCAGCAGGCAATGCTCCCGCCCCTGGCGGCCGGCAGAAGCTGAGCCTGCCGGCCTCGCGCGGCGGCGCAGGTCCTGCCTTTGTTTGGAGAATGGAGACCCGGACAAGAGGGGGAGGCGTGACTTCAGTATTCCTGTCGTTTTTAAACAAACGGTTCCTAATGTGTGTCTGTTGGGTGCCAGCCCGAAACTCCGTGGGCAGAGCCGGCTGCGCGCCGCGCCCTCCCTCGGCACGCGCCCTTCTCCCGGCGGCGGGGACGGAACAGCGGCCCCGGCGAAGCAGCCCGGGCTGCGCGCGGGTGGGAGGCTGTTCCTGCCGCTGCGGGCTGGCGTCGCCGAACGTGGAGATTTTTCCATTCATAAAACCAACCTCCCCGCTCACCGGCTTGCCGCGCGACTCGGGGCCCGCAGCAGGGCGGGGATGGCCCGGGGTGCGCGCGGTTTGGAGGGCCCGGGGGCCTGAAGGGGCGCGTGGTCACGTTTCTCCGGGAAGCCGAACGTTAAGAATCCTACCCGGTGTCCCCACTCAGCCTGCACAGACGACCGACACCGCGGCGGATGCGCCCTTCGGTGCGAAGCGGAGACAAAATGGCTTGTGGTTCCCATACAATAAAACCTCGCCCTCTGACTCCGGGTGTCCGACATTTTGTGACTTGCAGCTTTTGCTCCGTCACAGATTTAGGAAGCGACTGTCAACCCGTGCCCCCTACCCCTGTGTAAACAACAACCTTTGGGGTCCCCGTTATTACCCTTTATGGCGGTGGGTGGGGGCGCGGGAGTGGGCAGGGCAGGTGATGGCAGGGGCGAGGCGAGGCGGGGCGGGGCGTTGTGCTAATTCAAGACGCAATCTCCGTCCCAATAATAGATTGTTATTAACAATGATCCTCTCTGCAAAACCCTTAAAATTGCCCCTCGACTCCCCTGGCAGCAAGAGGAGAGCCCCAATTCGCTGAGCTGACGCCTCTCCCCACCCCCACCACTCTCCGCTCTGGAAATCACAACTCCGCTGCGCGCCGCGCGCGGAGGAAGCTGCCGCGGCGAGAGGGAGGCGGGGAGGGGATCCCCGGGCCGGCCGGGCGGAGGGCGGACGCCCGCCGGCTGCAGCGCCACGGGGCCAAGGTCAGAGGCGCCGCCGGCACAGCAGCGGGGAACCGGAGGAGCGGGTCTTTTCTGGGAGAAAGCGCAGGGCGAATTCGGCCCGCGCCAGCAGCTGCCGGGAAGGGCGGTGGACGAAGGTCTCCTGGCCCGCGGGGCCCGGCGGAGAAAGTCGCCCGCTCAGCGACCCACCCGGCAGGGCAGCGGCCCCCCAGTCCGCTCGCCGGAAGCCGGGGCGCCTCCTAGGTCTCCCGGGCGCTGTCCGCCGGTTCGTGGTGCTGATCTCAGCCCCACTGCCCAGAGGCCTGCTCAGCCGCCTTCTCACCTACGGATCGCCCCGACTGGGGGCGGGGCAGGGGCGAAAGGAGGTCCCCGGGCGGCTGCTCATTGGAGCCGAGGGCTTGGAGCAGGAAAGCCAGCGAACAGCAGCCGGGCCGCTGCTCCTGATGCGGAGCGGACACGCGCGCTGCGGCCGCCGCCGGCGCCAGTGCTGATTCATCACCTGGAGTGCCTCCCAGGCCACCGCCGGGGCAGCCGACCGGCTCCGGGCTCGGGCCGCAGGGTGAGGGTGAAGCCGCTGCTGCAGGGGCCTCGCTGGCTCGAGGTGAGCACCCCCTCCCTTCTCTCGCTCCCCGTCGTCTTAGGGCGGTGGCCCCAGAACAGACAGAGGGGCGTGCCCCCGAGCGGCGCAGCGGTCATGCCTGTGTGATGCTCCCGCCTCCAGTGTCGCCGGAGCTAAGCAGGCAGGGTCCCCTCCGCCCGTCTTCGGAGCTCGGGCGGTTCCGCCCCGGGACCTGAGCAGCTCGTCCCGCCCGCGCCGCGATGGAGGAGGAGCTGAAGTGCCCAGTGTGCGGCTCGCTGTTTCGGGAGCCCATCATCTTGCCCTGTTCCCACAACGTCTGCCTGCCTTGCGCTCGTACCATCGCAGTGCAGACCCCGGACGGCGAGCAGCACCTGCCCCAGCCGCTCCTGCACTCGCGGGGCCCGGGGCTGCCGGCGGGCGCCGCGGCCGCCGCGCCCCCTCTGGACCACGACGCCGCCGCTGGCCCGGCCTGCAGCGGCGGGGGCGGCAGCGCAGCCAGCGGCCTGGGCGGCGGGGCGGCAGGTGGCGGGGACCACGCGGACAAGCTGAGCCTGTACAGTGAGACGGACAGCGGTTATGGCTCCTACACGCCCAGCCTCAAGTCCCCCAACGGGGTCCGCGTGCTGCCCATGGTGCCCGCGCCGCCGGGCTCCTCTGCCGCCGCGGCCCGGGGCGCCGCCTGCTCCTCGCTGTCCTCGTCCTCCAGCTCCATCACGTGCCCGCAGTGCCACCGCAGCGCCTCCCTGGACCACCGCGGCCTGCGCGGCTTCCAGCGCAACCGGCTCCTGGAGGCCATCGTGCACCGGTACCAGCAGGGCCGCGGGGCGGTTCAGGGGGCGCCCGCGGCCCCGGCCGTGGCCATCTGCCAGTTGTGCGACCGCACCCCGCCGGAGCCGGCCGCCACGCTCTGCGAGCAGTGCGACGTGCTCTACTGCGCTGCCTGCCAGCTCAAGTGCCATCCGTCCCGGGGACCCTTCGCTAAGCATCGCCTGGTGCAGCCACCGCCACCGCCGCCGCCCGCACCCGCCGAGGCCGCCTCTGCGTCCCCGGGCGCCGCCCAGGGCGCCCCCAGCGGAGGAGGCGGTTGCAAGAGTCCTGGGGGCGCGGGCGCCGGAGCGGCGGGGGGCGGCGCGGCCCGCAAGTCCCCCACGTGCCCCGAGCACGACCTGGAGCATTACAGCATGTACTGCGTGAGCTGCCGAGCCCCGGTGTGCTACCTGTGCCTGGAGGACGGCCGGCACGGCCAGCACGAGGCGAAGCCGCTGGGGGCCGTGTGGAAGCAGCACAAGGTGAGCGCCCGCGGGGCGGGGCGGGGCCCCGGGAGGCGTTGTCCGCCCCGTTCCTGGAGGATTGACCCGAGAGGTCGGCCGGAGGGCCGGGCAGGAATTGTATCGTTCGTTCGTTCCTTCGTTCCTTTGTTGGTCTATTCACTCTTTTCCTCATCAGTCATTTGAATGAACCTAGGTACTCTGAGCTGGGTGTTGGAGATGGCAAGGGCGTGGGAAGACGACCTGGTGGACACCTCTCCGCCCCCCCAGATTTTATGATTCTGCGCAAAGGGCACCCAGAATGCAGAAGCAGGGCTCTCTCACCCCTGAAGTTGGCTCGTTACTTACCTTGCTGGCCCCTCCAGATGGAAGGCATCCAGGGCCCCTTAGTCTCCCTAAGAAGTTTTTTATTTTTATTTTTCTAAGCCAAGTGTTACTACCTGCCCGCAAGAAAATGTCCTGACGCCCTTGCGCGTGGTTAATCTTGGGAGGCAGGGCGCATTCGATCCCAGCCCTGGGGAAGGGACACACTCTTTCCTCCAGAGCAGAACTCCCGTCACTTTTCAGAGCGGAAAATTTCCGACTCACTCGGCAGCACTTCCTCCCCTCCAAATGCTTCCCAGCCTAGAGAGGAGGTGTAATTCCTCGAGCACATTGTCTGAGAAGTGGAGGCGGGGAGTGTGCTCTTTGAATAAGGCACATTGCATCGGTGTCCCCAGAGACCGTCCCCTCCCAAACTCTGCTGCAGTCTCAGTGGGTGTGGGGTGCAGTGGGAGAGCAAGCTCTCAGTAAGTGAAGGAGGCCCCCTTTCATCTGCAGATGGCCAGGAACATTCCTCCCCAGGGACCTGCCTGGGTGCCACCTCCCAAGCAGAAATGAAACAGCCTCTGAATGCTACTGGCTGGAGCTCACTCGGGGCTGCCAATCAGGTCAGGCACTTGGCATGGCCCCAGGGCAAGAGTGGGGGCAGTTCTCCTAAGGAACATTCACCTCACTGTTCTTCCAAAGGCTGGGCTGTGCAAGGGGGTGACTCACCTTGCTACTGTGAGGTCAGTGAGTCAGACCTGACAGAGTTAGGGTCCCTTGTTCAAGGTTCCCAACCCCTCTGCAAATGGGGACATTTATCGTGTAGTGCCCTCTTTCCGGGATACTTCCCATGCCTGAAAGAGGCAGGAGGTCTCCAAATTGACCAACAGGAAATGCGTGTTCTGATTGAGGAAAGACTTGGGGAAATAGAGCGACTCTCCACAACTATCTCCATTACCTACCACAAACAGACAAGGAGGGGAGTTCAGACGAGAGGAGAAGAAGGGATAACCACTGGATGTACTGTACCTAGTTACCACATAATTTCATCTGCTACAATGTGCATGTCATCATCGTAATTTAACATGTTCAAGTAAAAAATCAGAAAAGGAAGAAGGAGGAGGATTTTAGAAATCCACCTTGGAGAGGGAAATTTGCATCGCAGGGCAGAAGGGCCACCCGGAGCCGATCCCTCATCCCTGAGCTGTGGTTCTCATTTGGGGACACTTTCACTCCCCTTCCAGAACACGTGGCAGTGTCTGGAAACATTCAGGGGGTACGACTGGCATCTAGCGGGTAGAGGCCAGGGAGGCCGCCAAACGTCTTGCAGTGCACAGGGCACCTCCCCCAAACAACCCTGTAGCCCCAAACGTCGGTAGTTTCTGCTGCTGGGAAACGCTGCTGTACAGCCACACAGACCTGGGTCCGGATCGCAGCGCTTGCGTTCACTCGCTCTAAGCTCTAGACACAATTTAAAACCCACTGGATAATAATATCTGACTCAGGGCGTTGTTGTAGGGAGTAAGTGTAATGCTGCATGGTTAGCCTCTACCATAGTCACCCGCCCACGGTAACGAATACACGTTATTTTTAGCATCTTTTCACTGAAAGCCACTAAACCTGCAGAAGGCTACAGGGCGCAGCCAGAGTGCTCATTAGACCTCAGTGACTTGGTTTCCTGGAGAAGCCGAGCTGATAACTTCTGACATTGTTTATGCTGGGTTATAAAAGAGCTTCGAGGAAATGGGAATGTGTGCCTTGGGTTAGTTATCATTCCTATGACGTTTTGTTGCAAATTGCTTCACAGTGGTTGTAGCCACATTGCTTATTTTGTTTTTGTTCAAGCAAATAGACATTTTCCAAATGAAATCTTTTGCAAAGAGGCTGCAACCCGGTACCGAGACCAGAAGTATGGGTTCAGATTTTGTGAGCTGTTAAATTTTCACAGCTGAGGAGGCTAGAATTTACTCAGGATGTTGTCACCTAAATCTTTAGACTCAGTGAAGAGTGGGCACTAAATACACTGGGATGAGCTGGCAGCTCTGAAACAGATGAAGCCTCTTACCAGGAAAGTGAGCTGGACAATGAGTTATGGCTTTAAGAACCAAGGTCATGCAGGGCAAGTCATGAGTCACCCTTGACTTGGTGTTCTCAGCTGTTTTATAATATTTCTGTCTTCGTGAGACCGTGGAAGTTGGTGAGGAAGTAAGGAAAGCCCATGTGACCTTGCCCCTCAGCACAGGACAGTAATCTGGGAAATGCTACCACAGTGTCCCCGCCTTGTCTGCAGTGTCATTTTCTGCTGTTTCAGTCACCCCTGGTCAACTGCTGTCTGAAAATATTAAACGGAAAATTCCAGAAATAAACAATTCATGAGTTTAAAATTTCACACCGCTCTGAGGAGCAGGAGGAGATCTCTCGCCTTGCTGCTCAGTGTCCGCTGGGGTGCGAATCATCCCTTCGTCCAGAGGCCCCACTGAGGTTATTACATCCACTGCTGAGGTACCGCAATGCTTGTGTTCAGGTCACCCTTACTTCACCGAATAATTCCACACTCCCATAACTTTTATCACAGTATATTGTTGTGGTTTTTTTAGTATAAATTGTTGTTACTTTCCAACTGTACCTAATTTATAATTAAACTTCATCATTGGTATGTGTATGTAGGGAAAAAAGTATACACAGGGCTCAGTACTGTCTAAGATTTTTAGGCACCCACCGAGGGGGTCTTGGAACGTATCCCCTTGAGGTCAGGGAGGCCACTGTGTGCAGAATCTAGCATCTCAATTCCGCATTTCATGCCACCGCTCCAGGGAACCGAGACACCGCAAACCCGGAGGACTATTACGAGGTGGTACTTTTGTAAGAGGCTGTTTCCGAGATCAGAGGCGTTCTGCTGTTCTCCTTCAGCGGGTGCTGGTTTTCTGCAGGGAGAGATGACTGAGCGCCTGCTTGCGGGCAACTCGACCAGGGGCTGGAGAGCAAAAGGAAAGACAGAGGAGGGCCCTGGAGGGGGTCTGTGTTGCTTTGTGGGCAGGCGTCTGGACCACCGTCGTGAGCTGGGAGGGGGCTGCTTGGGACAGATAAAGTAGAATAGTTTCACGCTCCCCGCCCCCACCACCATGGCAGTTTAAGTTGGTAAAACTTCCAGGATTTTCCTTGTCATTCTGGTGTAAAGACCCAGGAAGCTGTGATGAAGGCAGTTGTGCACCTGGAATGAGAATCAGCCAGGGACACGTCCCCACCCTCCCTGAGCCAGGAGGAGCCTTCCTCAGAGCCTTGCTTGTCTTCCTCCCCAGCCCGCCCGGGGCTCGCCATCTGGGTGAAGAGACACACAGCAGCACCGAAACCTATTTTAGACCGAGGTTGATTACCGCCTTTGAGAAGCAGCGTAAAAGCGCCAGGTCTTGGCTACACGTATATTTTTAGCTGGTTTTCCTGGGAGAGAATCAATTGTTTCAAAGAGCCTGTGAGGTGAAAGGATAATAGGCTGGGAAAGATGGGGCCAAGAGGGGAAGAGCTTTTCTCTCAATTGCCCGTGGAGTACGGAATTCTAATTTTCCTGAACCCAGCGTGGAAGGGTCACTGGGGGTCGCATCTCCTCCCTAGTGAGACATGCCCCAGCAGGTCGGCAACATCTGTAATGCCTGCCAAGTGCAGAGAGTGGACCCTGAACTGAAATGGGCAGAAGCGACTCCCGAACTGAGCTACGGAAAGCTGGGTAGGCCCTTCTTCAGAAGCGTTCGAGAATCCTAGAAAATAGGAGAGTATCAACCCCAAATCTCACTGACACCTCAGGATTACTGCTCCCTGAGAGGCAGCACCTCATGAGGGCCAGGAAGCCAGAGGCCTGGAGATCTCAGGACAGCCAGGCGGCGGTGGCAAGGCCCCAGTCCTGCCTCACGTCACAGAAGAGATAAGGAAAGGGGTTTGGCTTGTAGAGCCTCTGGAGAAAGAGGTAACACAAGAATGACGAAGGCCAAGTATGTAATCACAGCAGGTTACATGGTCACAAGAACAGTTATTCTAATACAGATAGTGCTTTGTAAAGACAACTAATAGAGGCTCATTGTTAATAATCAGATTTACACGTGTGGAAGTGTAGATATTAAATATCAGCCCCAAATTTCAATTTGCAGAGAAAACCATCTCTAACATTTTAAAGTTCTTCTAGAATTCTGTAGTGTATTTATTTTGGACCCATGCCTTTTTTTCCCTTTCATAACCAGCATAAATATCTTTCCTATCATTAAGGCACGCCATTTTTTATGACTGCGTGACATTTTACTGTACAAGTTTATTATTTGATTTAATCCACACCCTCATGCTGGACTTTCAGTTGTTTTCAGTCTTTTGCTGTTATCAACATTTTTTAGTTAAATCTCTGCCTATACTCTTGATTATTTTCTTACCTTAAATTTCTGAATGTGGAATACCTGTATCAAAGGTTATCTGGCTTTAAGACATCTGATTAATGTTGCCAAATTGTCTCCCATAAAGTTTATACTTATTTTTTCTCCCAAGAGCAAAACTATGTAAGTAAAAAAATCCCTGTAGATACGGACCATGGGAGGGAACAATAAGGAATGTCCTGTTCCTAGTAATTATTGTTTGCTGTTTTCATTACGTTATTGTTCAAACTACTGTTTAAAAGACAGTTGCAAATAGCAAGATTTCATATTTTTCACTGCTGGGAATCCATCTGCCTTGCCCCA